TCCTCCATCCAAAGCTGCAACTTCTGTGGCAGCACCTGGACACTGTGCCAGGGGGCTGAGCATTTGAGGCGCCCAGAGGTGTGGGGGTCAGCTCTGTGCTTTTCCATCAAACTTCAGATGCTGCACACAAACACACAGAGTAGGCAAAGCCAGAGGACCGACATCTGGTCACGTACTTCTTGCTCCTCAGGCTGGCCACCTCCTGTGGCAGAATGAATTAAGTTGGAAAAGGTCAAGACAGATCTTGAGATGAGGTCATCCAGGATTTAGTGCAGAACCTAACCTGGCCAGCTTGCTCCTGTGATGGTGAGGTGTGCGCCTGCCCAATGCTCAGGAGCACTCTACACTCCTGCAACGATCCAAGCCCCACTTTGTGTTCTGCCTGGACACCTAGATTTACCTGCACTCGGACCTTGAAGAGATGCAGTCTTTGGTGTGAAAGGATCCTGGAAGAGCTGCGGGCACCCTGGACAGGCACCCGCTGCTAGGAGGACAGACTGAGGACACACTCCCGAAGCACGAGGCGGTTTCCCCTGAACAAGCTCGAGGTCACCAGGTATTGGGGGCCAGACGCAGCTCTGTCTGGCACCTCAGACCCCTGGGAGTCTGTGGCTCTCAGCTCCTCAGAGGGGTGGAAACATGGAGGGGGACCTCGTCCCTTCAATCTTCCTTCTTTCTCTCTCACTACACTGGTAAGAATCAGTGGCAAGGCCCTGACTCAGATTGCAGGGGCGGGCAGCGGGAGAAGCACATGAGTGTGAAGGTGGCAGAAGAAACTCCACCTGAGAATGAAGGGGACCAGTGTGTGAGGGTGCAGGAAGGGCTGGCTACTGGCCTCTCTAGAGACTTCTCATCACCCTCTCTGAGGCACCCAGGGGCTGAGCAGAAGCCCTGCCAGGCTGTAAACTAGGTGTGGTGTCACATGCCTGTAGTCACAGCACTCTATAGAGGGCTGGAAGCAAAGGGCCACAAGTTCCAGCCCAGCCGGGGCAATTTGCTGACTCAGCAAAAGGCCTTGTCTCTGAAAAGGAGGCTGGTGGGGTGGGGTGGGGTGAGGGTGCCTGTCGGAACTTAGGTTCTAGGTTCAAGCTTTCTTTTCTTCTTCTTCTTCTTCTTCTTCTTCTTCTTCTTCTTCTTCTTCTTCTTCTTCTTCTTCTTCTTCTTCTTCTTCTTCTTCTTCTTCTTTTTTCTAGGTTCAAGCTTTCGTACTGAATGAAAAACAGATTCTGCAAAAGTGAAGCCAAAAACAATCCCAGACGGCCACTGCTTCTGAGAGATGTCTCGGCTTTTGGACAACAGAAATCTCATGTGGCAATGCTGCGCTGGACTCCAAGGCCTGCCTGGCCGGCCACCCTGCATGGGGCTGAATGGATACCTTTATCTATGATGAGAGGAGGCTCAAGTGCCTCTCTCTCTCTCTCTCTTTTGTTTTTGTTTTTGTTTTTTTGTGGAACCGGGGATTGAACTCAGGCCCTTAAGCTTGCTAGGCAAGCGCTTATTCTACTGAGCCATCTCCCCAGCCCCAAAGAACTGAGCTAAGAGGCAGGCCCCCTCAAGTACCTCTCTTGATGGTTAACGGTGATTCACTGCCTAGAGTAACAGCCCTCGGAGGACAAGCATGGTGGCAGAGCCATTGCCCCAGCCTCTGCGGAGCAGAGCATCCCTGATAGCTATGACGGGTGTCACAACTTCCCCAGGCATTATTTTTAGTGCTACTTTTTCTGTGCTGAAGACATCATCCTGCCCTGCATCAAATTACATGGCAAGGCAGCATTTCCTACATGTAACAAAGGATGCAAACCTGTATTTATGACATAAGCCAAGGCAACTGCCACTGCCTACTGGGCCTTACCCAGATGGCTTTTCAATTATACATGGAAATGGTGTTTTTTTTTTCAGGGAGATGTGACAGGCGAAATGAATGGCTCAAGGAGTTACTGCTTAAGGAAATGAAAACAATCAGGAGGAACCATTAAAAAATTGAGAATTCTGCAAAACTCTGATGGAAGGCGCTCACTCTCTGCAAGAGCCCCTTCCTGGAAAGCCTCACACATGCCCAGGTCTGGATTCTCACAGGCAGAGAGGCATCATCCTGAGGGAAGCTTCTTCCGTGTCCCCTGTGAGCCGCAGTCTGCTTATCAGTAGAATGAAGAGCGAGAAACTCAGCGGCGGCTGAGCAGGCAGAGCGGGGCCTGGCGAGGTCACTGAGGAGGCAGGAGCTGCATCCCCTGTGTGTCTAGACTTGTTTCGCTGGCTTGCAGGCTGCAGGCTGCTCTGCCACGCGGTGCTTTCCCATCTATGACCTCATTTTGTCTCCAAAACAACCTGAGGTGGGGCAGGGCAGTGAGCCTCAGCCTCCAGGGATCTGAGGTCCAGAGAGATTGGCTGCATCGTTTCGCATGAGCCACCAGCCCCTGATGCCCATGTGCAGAGGATGGTGCCTAGGTAAAGCAGGGAGGCTGGGCCCTGCTGCAAACAAAAGAAGCCCCTGGGCCAGAACTAAGGGAGGGTGGAATCAGATGCAGGGCATTTTTGCCTAGCCTGTGAGGCACAGCATGGGGCAGGCACGTTGGAGTCCTGGAAGGGGCGACAAAGGCAGGGCTTCGCCCGAGGGTGGCAGTGCTGGGCAGGGGCGTCAGTGCCGGGCAGTGGTGCCAGCCTTTCCTCCTCTCAGGGCCCCAGTTTTCTTGCACTGTAGACCCATCCAGGTGCAAGAGAAGTGGGCTGGGTGAGCCGGGAGGCCCTCGGAGCGCAAGGGGCTTGGGGTCTGCACTGTGCACCACCCCAGCCCATCACAGAGGTTCTCTTCACCTCAGTTCTCCTCCTCTGAAAGTGCAGAGAGGTGTGGCTGCACATAGTGACCCGCATTGCCTTGGCCACCTGCAGGACGACACGGAGGAGAAGGTGGTATAGACCTGGTTGTACCGAACAAAGTCATTTCAATTCAGGAACACGAACAAGATACATGTCCTCCCAACCTCCTGCTAAACACGACTTTAAAAGCATGCGTGTCCCCTATTGCTTCACACTGCACACCCGGCTTTGTGCACAGCACATTCCCAGGGCCCCACTTATGCAGCCACCCTCACCCACCCCAGACAGTGACTTCAAGTTGCAAACTTAGGTGGGGCTCAGCCATGCTGCCCCTTCACTCTTACTTCTAAGCTTGGGGAAAAATCAGGCTCCTGTCTCAGAAACCCTCAAACTGTAACTTCCCATGGGAAATGGGCAGCCCTGCCTGGGTGGCACAGAATGTGCGCAGCGCCCCTGGATTAAAGCTGTAGGGAAGGATGAGGAGCCCCTGCAGGCAGCATGCTGGGTTTCCCTCCTGGCAGGCAAATGCCAGGTTTTGGGCATCAGGCCTCCTGAAGGAGGCAGGGCAGAGAGGAGAGAGCATACTGAGTGGGGCAGGAAAAAAACTGTGGAATCCAGGATTTGTACTCTTCCTTTTTTCAGCCACCTAAAAGCTTTGTCTTCCTGCCCCTTGGCCATAATTTTGCCTTTCCTTGCTCCATATAACAGTCCACAATGCCGGGATGGATGGGCTGTTTCAGGCTCTGGAGAGGAGTGTACAGGGACAGAGCCGCGAGGCAGAGGGCCCAGAGGAAACCATACAAAAGCAAGCTCAAGACCTTGAGGGCAAAGTTCAGCCTCGGGATGACAGGGTGGCAGCAGCTCAGGCCTAAACTCGGCTCCTCAGCTGCTCAGTCAGGTGCGGCCATCTGCGGCCATCTATCTGGAAAGCAGGACGGACGACGGTCAGTGAAGTCTTGAGCACCACCTGGCTTCTCAAGAATTTGTTAAAGTTAAATTGGGTGGCACATAAATAAAGTTTCAGTCTTTCTTTCCCGTATTTTTACTTACAGGGTGCCATCATGGTCCCTCAATTTTTTTTTTTTTTTTTTTTTTTTGAGAATTTGGGGGTTTTAGTGCCTTAAAAAAGCCATTTGTGTCTCTTTGAGATGTAATCTGGCCCTTACCAGCTCCAGCAGAAGGTGAATGAGAAAGTCAAACCTTCTTTTCTAAATAAAATTTCTGGGGGCCAAGAATGTGGCTCAGAGGCCCAAGTGCCTGCCTGGCAAGTGCAAGGTCCCGAGTTTGATCCCCAGTACTGCAAACCAAACCAAATCAAACAAACAAACAAACAAACAAACAAAAATGATGTGCCTAAGCAAAACTTCTAGACTCACAAATATATTTGCCAGTGTCTCTGTTTCTGTGTGCTACAAGCTGAGGGCAAAGGCTCATCTCACGGTAGAGCCTGGAAGAACCACGTCATGACTGTTCTCACTTTAATGAAGCAACCACTTTCTGTACACGATGCCTGTCTTAGTGTACAGTCAGCCCACAGTCGCCTGCCTCTGATGTAGGGACACCTGAGCTCAGTGCACCCCTCCTCCTGAGGGTCCCCCAGCTGATGAACTTGTCACCCTCCACCCGGTGCTCCGGGTGCCCACACAGCACAGCTGAAGGTCCTGTGCATTCTGGCCCATCACCATTTTCTTTGCAAAGTGGATACTCCCCAGTGCATCCGGAGGGCACAACGGCCTACCATGTTGCCCGAGACAGAGGGCTCACATCGCGGAGAGCTTCTGGTGGGCTCCGCTGACAGGCACCACCCTGATGCTGAGCAACTCTGTAATGACTAATACTGACCAGCGCAGCCCTGGGGTGTGTTTTACATAACCAAGCATTATTCGTGACATGCTTAACAAGTCCGGATATTTTTAATAAACCCAAGTACTGCGGTCCTTCTGCTGCAGGCTGTGTGGCACCTCCACAGGCACAAAGGAGGGTGCCAGGCACGGGTGACCAGCTTGGATGCAGGCTCCTGCATGAGCCTCCACGTTGACCATTAAAGGTGGCCCTCGACACTGGCACCAACAGATCAGAGGACAGAACCCACCACACTCCATCCTCACCCCTCGCCCTGCAGAGGCCTGGAGACAACAGCAACACTCAGAAAGGTCAGCCACAGAATAGGTCCTCAATGGTTGATTGTATAAATAATTTATTTCTGTTCACAGCATCATATATGCATTATAAAAGGGGATGGAAACAAAAGAAAGACCGACACAGAGAATTACAGCAGTAAAACAGAAAACTGGGACCAGGGGACAGTTCTGACACCACAACAGGGAAACTGTGAAGGGAATTGTTCTGAGACAAAGGTGGCCTCCCTGTGTCTATCAGAAAACATTTCTACAGCTCACTTAGGGAGGCCAGCTTCCGGTGTGAAACCCATCCCATCACCAAAGGGCAGAAGGCACAGCCAATCACTGGCTGACAAGAGGGGACTCCCAGGGTGACTTTCTCTGAGCTTCCTGTTGGGTCAGAGATGAAATGGGCTACTGGTAGGTCAAACATTACAGAACTCAACCTAGACTCTTTAACCATTAGTTGCTACACCACAGGGCTCTTGACTCACTGCACAGCTACTAACAGTTGACTGCACCCTTAGAAAGTGATAATGTGAACAAATGAAAATAAACCGTCCTGCATCAGCGTTGAAGCACGACAAGATCTGAACCACTACCTGGAGCCCAGGCATTGTCTGCACAAGAAGGTTACAGTATTTGGCATCTGCAATGTCACAAAATAAATATATTATTCTCTCAATAGCGTGGAGCTACCAAAATGTCAAAGTGCTTAAGAAAATGTTACATGTGAAGAAAATAAAGGGAGATGGATATTTTTAATAACTCTATACAGAATCTTCAGAGATGGGACCAGCCCATGTAGAAGTCAGTGAGTTGCTGTCGATGTGTAAACTGAAATCCTACAGGCTTTTTTCACTGTTGAGCTATTTTCTCTACTGAGTTTCTACAAAAAGACCAGCACTGGAGGGGTACCAAATACGCTGACAAAAGAGGAAAGGAAGATGGGCTGCTAGATTTCTTTTTAAAAATCTCCTAAAAGATTTGAGTTGCAGGCAGGAAGCCAGAATTTCTGCTTCTGGGTTTTGAATTGTCAGCGTAATGGACGATGCGCACGGGCTTGGGCTTTGGCCCTCTCTCTTGCTCAAGTGTAACCACGTCCGCTTCCTCTAGGCCTCCTTTGCAAATAAATGTGTAACTGTGTGTGTGTGTGTGTGTGCTGGTGGGAGGGGTCAGAATTCTACCTGGAGACATGAATTGAGGGAGGAAATTAAAAAAAAACCATCAAAGCCAGTTGCAAGTTTACCTTTTGATACTATGTTTCAGGGTAAATGACAGATTCCACAAAACCAAGACTCAGTCCTGATTATAAAGGATTTTTTAAAATTACATTATTAAAAATAGGTCTTTATTCTTCTCTCATTTTATCTATTTTCCAAAGCCTTTTTCAAGTAAACTGTGAAGTGCCTGAGGCCCAGCGAGCATGACGTCACATGCCTGCCCCTCTCTCTCTCTCTCTCTCTCGAGCACCCCCTGTTCTCATTTGCCCAAAGTGCTGGCTGGCTGCGGGGCCAGTTCCCACGAGAATGAATCCAGGACTTCATTCTTAAGCTTTCCCTTTGCTTCTAAATCCATGTAGTGAGGTCGGCTTTTGCTACAAGGTGGGGTTTTATTTTTTTGGCGCATGACATCAAATACTCTTAAGAGACATTTTGAATGAAATACTCAAACCAGATAGGCCACATGGTGAGCTACATTAGAAATCTGAACATGTTGCCACTAGCGGCATCAAGAAACAGAAAAGGGTAGGGCCAAGAAATGTGTTTTCTTGAAGTGACTACCTTTAAGCTGAGGAGTCATTTGTAAAGTCGCTTTAAGGATATGTTTGAAAACCCATCACCAAGCGGTTAGCATTACAAGAGACATCCCTTACTCAAAAAAAAAAAAAAAACCACCCCAAAAATCCCAAACAATCTTGCAATTTAGCACACATCTGTGGCTAGTGTGCTCTCCCAAACCCAAACCAAGGAGTAGGCTAAGAGATTTGAAAATTCCACATATGGGTCTAGGTATTTATGCCGGCTGATTATACAGTATAGAGGCCTCTATAACCATGTACACGCCCCATCCAGCATTTATGCTGAGTCTTGCCCTTTAAGCACCTCTGACTATTCTGCAGACAGTAAATGTATCATCTGCCACCACCTCCAACAATTTTTTGCTCTTAATTTTTATTGGTCTTTTGTGTGATAATGACCTACACATGGACAGGCTCCAGGCCATCTGGAAGAGGCCTCTTTCCAGCAGCAAAGCAGTTCTCAGCACAGGTCTTCTGCAGCCACCACAAAGCCCCAGGCGAAGCGCATCCTCCTCGCAGCGATTCCCACTGAGGCCCGCAGCACAGCGCCGTGGCCCCGGCTGCCCTGCCGCATGGTCCCAGCGGTCCTCCGATGGCCCAAACCACCGTTGGTTTGGGCCCAGAACAGAACAAATGAAATTTCAACAGGGGCCTGCCCCGTGACATAAAACGTATTCCGCCTCCACAGCCTCTGAATGTAAGGAGCAGTCCTCCACCAGCACCCCCGCCCCCATCGCCTACCTGCTCCCCGTAGGGGACCCCAGGGTTCTGGGGACTGCAAGCCTCGGGCAACTCACAGGTGATCTCCCCGCGGGGGCGGGGCAGCCTTAACTTCAGGCCTCGCCGGAGCAGGAAGAAATCGCTTTTGTCTCTGTTATCTGAGCTCTCCACCTGGGGCCAGAGGGCGCGCAACAGGATCTGCACGTCCACTTCTCTTGGGTCCCCCACCCCATCCGAAGCTCCGGGCGTTCAGACAAAAGGTCCCCTGAGCTGGTGCAGGGAGGGGGCGGGGCAGGTGGAGAACAGGGCTGGTAGATGAGTCTCCACGCCAGGGTTAAAACACACCAGTTCTGCGTCTGGGTAGAGACTGCGTTTTACAAATTCGAAGCATCGCTTTGGTTCGCTGCCTTTGTTCGCGGGCGCGGGTTGTCGCTCCCCATCCGCCCATCTGTCCATCCATCTATCAGTCCATCCATCCATCCATTCATCCACCCATACTCTTTTGCCTGGATTGCTCCCCCACGCCGCCCGGCGCATTACCGCTTCTTCTTCTGCTTGAGGGACTTCCTGCGTTTCAGGATCATCTCATAGAGCTTGTCCATGCCCTCGGTGAGGCCCTCGCCGATGATGGCGCAGGCCGGCTGGACGTGGTAGGTGGTGGCCGGGATGAGCTCGTGCAGCGCCAGCTGCTTCTCGATCTCTGCCACCGGCAGCGACTTGGGCAGGTCCTGCTTGTTGGCGATGACCAGCAGCGGCGTGCCCTGGTTCTCGGCGAACTTGGTCACCTTGTGCAGCTCGGTCTTGGCTTCCTCCAGCCGGTCCACGTCCACCGAGTCCACCACGTAGATGATGCCGTCCGTGCAGCGGCTGTACGACTTCCACAACGGCCGCAGCTTCTCCTGGCCGCCCACGTCCCAGAAGTGGCAGCTGATGCCCTTGGCCGTGCCGTTGCTCAGCTTGATCTTCTCCGTGTTGAAGCCGATGGTGGGCACCGTGTTCACGAACTCGTTGAACTTGAGGCGGTAGAGTACGGTGGTCTTGCCGGCCGAGTCCAGGCCCAGCATGACGATGTGCAGGGACTGGAAGGCCGAGATGTTGGAGGAGATGTTGCCCATGGCTCCTGGCGGGGGCGCGGGCCACTGCGGCTGCGGAGGGCGCCGCCCCCGGCGGTCACTGCGCGCGGCCCTGGCGCCGGGTCACACCGCGGGCATCGCGTCCCCGCCGCAGCTTTTGTCTCCCGCCAAGCTGCCTCCGAGCCGCGGCGCAGGGTGCTCGACCGACCGGCGCCCTCCCTGGCTGGGCTCAGTGGCGGCTCTGTGCCCGGCTCCTGGCTCCCGGGTTCCCGGCTCCCGACTCCCGGCTCCGGCTCCCGGCTCCGGCTCCCGGCTCCGGCTCCGGCTCCGGCTCCGGCTCCCGGCTCCCGGCTCTGGGCGGCGCCGCCCCTGCTCCCGCTCCCGGCGCGCCTCGGAGGGCAGCGTCTCTGCGGCGCGGACGCTTCGCAATCCCCGCAGTCAC